CCCTACTACAACTTACAATTTGAATTTTTGATTTTGAATGGAAATCACACTCCGAAACCTTCATTTTATCATTAAATTCGATATTTTGGAGTCCGCAACTTGGCAACGCTGCCGCGGGAGCAAAAAAATTTGTATGGGCATGAAAATTTCAGAAAAGTCCCATCTTGTACCAGGTAAAAACATACTAAAAATTCAGATCGGTCAAGGCAAGGATGAGGGAGAGGGGGTTTAATTAGTCGCCCGGAGGCCAATTTTGCTATTTTACCCCTAAAAAACCACAAAAATGCGATTATTTTTCGAGGAGCTCCGACAACCTATTTCGAAATTGCCCAAAAACCCATCAGGGAGTACCCCACTACAACCTCCAACTTGAATTTTTGATGTACAACAAAGTCGCATTTAAAGTGAGTTCAGGGGCACCGTGCAAAACAAACGTTTCGATCGGGCATGCCGATCGAGCACTTCGATCGAGCATTTCGATCGAACATTTCGATCGAGCAGTTTGATCGAACAGTTCGATCGAGCAGTTTCGATCGAAACAGGTTTTCGAACGATCATCGAAATAATCGATCGATCGATCGATCGGTTCGGGGACAGGCCTAGCCTGAACCTACCTTCCAAACACAATGAAAATGTCCACATGTCGTCATTCTTCTGAGACCTTGTGTTCCCTTTTTTGGATATTTTTCTTTACTTCAACACGTTCCTAGAGGGTAGATTTTATGGCTAGAAAGCCAAATGGCAGGGCATAGCAACATTTGGTCGATACCCCCCCCCCTCCTCGTAAGCTTGCGCTTCATGGCTAAAATACCAAACAAGAAGATGCGGCCACATTCGATCACCTTCCCAGTGATCTTTTTAGCCTCCCCCTTTTCTTTTCAAAAATTTTCGGGTTACCAAGTTGTTTCATCGTAAAGCAGGGGTGCAAACTTTTCTAGGCTTCTGCAATTTTCTGCAGCACGCAAGGTTTTTGCCAAAAGGTCAGGACGACACCCTGATCAAAATTTTGTAAAAGCTTTGGAAGAAAGTTCAGTTTCAGAGGGTTGCCACAGAATTTAGAAAATAAAATTCCCTGACATTCCCTTAATTTCCCTGACACATTTTGGCGAAATTCCCTGACAACTGAAGATGTGATGGATGGTTAAAAAGGCATAATTGAAAATAGTTTTCAGGTAAAATTTGTTCAAAACCTCAAACCTATTCTAGAAAGCATATGAGGGTGATTTAATAAATTTACCCTGACATTTTCGTAATTTTCCCTAACATTTCCGGGTTTTCCCTGACATTTCTCAGTTTACCTTGCCCGTGGCAACCCTGGCTTTCAGCAGAAAGCAAGTCAACACAACGCGCTGACGGATCATTCCATGCATAATCAGACCAGTGATTTGACCTGACCCCTTCAGAACTGAATGAACTTTGGCACTCTCATTCTGTTCACTGAGCTGAGTTAAAAAACATAAATTTTACTTTTTTTTGATGCCTCGTTCAATTTTTGTTGAGCTTCAGAGTTCTGGCAAGTTAACAGGCATCAGCACCTTTAAGAGTCTGTAACTTTAGAACAATTGATTCGAGCTGAACTGTCTTGGTATCAATGAAAAGCCCCTTAAATGAACTTTTAATTTATATATATCACAATTTGACATAACCTCAAATTTTTTTGTTAACAAATTGTAAAGTCGAAAATTGAAATATCTGAAAAAGGGGCAAATTAAATCGCACGAAATTTTGAATGGAGGTTGGTTATACCGCGGGGAATTTGGATGCAAAAATTCAGGGTGGAGACTTAATAGAGTCAAAAGTAATGAGCCAAAAAAGTTCGTTTTTCTCGAAAGCGAAGGCGCGGTGGGTGACGCGAGCGGCCCCGAGCCGCAGCGTTCCCGGAACCGGCTCGCCTGGATCACGACGTCCGTCGGCAACGCAAAAGGCGGCCTGAGATATTCCAGGAAAGCCGCGGGTTGGGGGCAGCTCGCGTTGACCGCCGCGCTTTTGCACTTGGGAAAATCGGACTTCTTTTGCTATAACTTTTGACTCTATCAAGTCTCCAATCTGAATTTTTGCATCAGGATTCAAAATTTCGTACAATTTGATTTACCCAATTTCGAGATATTTCAATTTTCGAATTTACAATTTTTTAACAAAAAATTTTGAAGTTATTTCAAATAGTGTTATGTATGAGTAAAAAGTGCATTAAAGGGGCTTTTCATTGATTTCAGAACAGTTTAGCTCGGATCAACCGTTCTAAAGTTACAGACTCTTAACAGTGCTGATGTCTGTTAACTTACCCGAACTCTGAAGCTCAACAAAAATTGAACGAGGCATCAAAAAAAAAAAAAAAAATTAAAATTCATGTCTTTCAACTCAGCTCAGGGAACAGAATGAGTGCATCAAACTTTCAATTCTGGAGGGGTTAGGTCAAAAAGTGCCAATTTTTGGTCTGATTTGACATGGAATGACCCTGACTTAACCTGAACCCCCCCCTCCTCCAAAAAAAAAACCCATCAGCCTCTGTAATTTTTAGGGCATGTCCACAATGTGGTCGCAACTGCACAGTTTAGAACAATTTGCATCCCTCTCGTACGACATACCAATAAAGACATTGCACTCTTTGTTCAATTCAATCAAAAAATAAGTGCCACCCTACTACCACTTTGCTGCAGCAAAGGTTCTCCCCAAAGATATCACTAGCACCGTTCACACTTAGCTGCTACTTTGCCAAACATCTAAAAATTGTTTTAATCTTTGGTGGCCTCTTTGATGGGGATAAAAGGGCATTTTAAACTGAGCGATGTAAATTTCATTATTTTTCTCGTAAAGTACTCAAACAGTGTATGACCTATAAAAATTTCAAAGCCGTAGGAACATTTTAAAGGGAGGAAAAAAATTCGCGAAATGACGAAAAAACGCGTCTTCGCACGCCACGCTCGGAACTTTAGGCTCTTTGAGGCGCGTTTTAAAACAATTTTTTCTCAATTTTTAGTTTTTTCCCTTTATTTTCTCATCAAATGAAACCACTTGCAGAGTTCCGCACTTTAAACTCCGTAAATGTAAAAATAAGGGCCACCCTACGCGAGTAACCTCTTCTGAAATAGCAATGTTGACCATTTCAGCGCCAAAATCCGGTACTTTACGTGGGGCGCAAGGACTCGATCGACTTGAAACCTTTTCTGACGATGCTAGGGCATGCCTTTTGAAACATTGAAAACAAAAACTAGAGAATTTAGTGTTACAATCTTGATGGCGTGCGAGTAAACCGTTGCCAAAAGAGCCATTTTAACCGTTTCAGCGCCAAAAAAACCATTTTTTCGGTGGGACGCACCACGCGTGAAGGCTTGACATTTTTTTGGCTAACAACTGGATATATTATCTACATTTAAAGGAAAAAACAAAAAATGTATGTGTCCTTATTTTTTTTAAAACCGCTAAAATCTGAAAAAATTGGAAATTGACGATTTTTACAAATTTTTTTAGGGGTCTAAATAAGGTACAATAAATTTGATTTTCTTTACCCAAGAATCTGACTGGTCTGATGAGTAATTGGTGAAATTTTGGTGCATTTTTATCGAAAATTGCGGGAGATGTGAAATAAAACGTGAAAATACCCTAAAATTCCCTGAAAAATGGGGTTTTCGGGGCTGGAGGGAGGGGGGGTGGTTGGGGTAAGGAGGGTAAAATTGCCCAAAACCATGTTTTCAGGACCTCCTGAAAGGGTTTAGACCTTTCAATTCAAAATCCGTGAGGAGGGGCATTTTGGTGCCCTTACCCAGGGATACCCTTTCTGAGGAAAAAGGGTTTTTTAAAATGGGAAGGTCAATTGGGAATATCGGAAGGCTAAGAGCGTTCGACACCCCTGCATCCTTTACTTAATTAGCTTTGAAAGGAAATATTACAAGTATCCTTGAAATACTTATTTTCAGGGCTAATAGAAGATAATTTTTTTAGGTTATAACAACAAACATTTTTGAAATCAGGATACTGTCATCCTCTGGGGCAAGCGCCATTTATGCTGAGCTACCATGTTGCCAAAGTTCCTGAATTTGCCCAATTTTTTATGGAAAAACTAACCTACAGAATCACTTGAAAATTTCACCCAATATTGCTTTTGTCATCAAGATTGATCCTTGAAATTTTCATAAATGGTTAAGTGCAAAAGTTTACATCAAAGATTAAAACAATTTTTAGATGTTTGGCAACGTAGCAGCTAAGTGTGAACGGTGCTAGTGATACCTTTGGGGAGAACCTTTGCCGCAGCAAAGGGGTAGTAGGGTGGCACTTATTTTTTTATTGAATTGAACAAAGAATGCAATGTCTTTACTGGTATGTCGTACGAGAGGGGTGGAAATTGTTCTAAACTGTGCAGTTGCGACCACATTGTGGACATGCCCTAAAAATTACAGAGACTGATGGGTTTTTTTTCTTTGGAGGGGAAGGGGGGTTCAGGTTAAGTCAGGGTCATTCCATGTCAAATCAGACCAAAAATTGGCACTTTTTGACCTAACCCCTCCAGAATTGAAAGTTTGGTGCACTCATTCTGTTCCCTGAGCTGAGTTGAAAAACATAAATTTTAATTTTTTTTTAAAGTGAGAAGGGGCATCTTGGTGCCATTACCCAGGGATACCCTTTCCAGAAGATGACTCTTATACGACTCTGTGCAAGATAACAGCTGCAGAATTGCAAAAAATCTCTTGATTTTGGCGATTTCCTCATTTTTGAACTCAGTTTTTGGGACGTTCCTGTTTTTACAAGCAATTAATAGGGACCCGCCCGCTCATGTGGTCGAAAAGTTTTTGCATCCCTGGATCTAACTCTGATTAGAAAAGTCAGATTTTAGGCTCAGTCCTATGGCATGTTATAAGTGTACCCTACCATTCCCCAATTCATGAAATGTCTAGATTGCAGCTATTGAATCCCACCCGCCAAATAACATTAATTAATTCTTACCTACCCCTTCATTCTCTTGAAACCAAGCAGTGGAACTAAAAACTAATGGAACTAAATTATACCTCCGTAAAGGGCACCAAGCTTCTTCAGTCTCATCTTTGCATCTTGCCTGGTCAAATCTGAATGAGTGGTCTCTGCCTCTTCAATATCTTGGGGGTCCGCTTCGATTGTGACTTCCTCTCCGGGTCGAATGATGCCTACGCAAGAAAAAAAATAAAATCAAGATTAAGTAAAAGACACATCTTTCACAGAAAAGCATTTGACTTGAAAGCTGGATATGTAGAAGAATTGCTCGGATTTTTAGCTTGAGCTGAAACAAAAGTTGTGCAGCTTGTTCTATACACAGATAGGTCTTCCGGTATGCAAAGATCTTGAGGTATGAAGAGGGACCCCAGGCCCCCCAGGGGTTTCCTCTGAAAATTTCTCAAAAAATGTTATCCAGGGTCCACAAAAGTTTTGAACTTTAAAATTACTTGACATTCCCAGACTCTTCAATGACCCTTCGTAGAAAATTCTATGACTTTTAGACAGAGCCAAAATTTTTCGATTTTTCAAGTCCCAAACTTCCTCCTGGCCCTTGTACTGCTCACAGTCCACTGATAGACGTGAAAATAGTAGAGTTCAGACTGTCAAAGAGACAATTAACAATAATAGCAATGTAAAGCATTACCAACATTAGTTTTAATGTTTACCGCATTCGTGATCACATTCAAATTCCTAGACTTTCCATTTACTTACAATATCTCTTGTCACAACCTCATCATTTTTGCGCCTTACTATATTACATTTTCAACTCTTTGAATTATTATTAGACAGCATCTTTCATACAGTTCACAAAAGGAGATTAAAGCCTGAACATTTGCTGACCCGGGACTGCACAAGTGTCATTAACCTGATCATTCATGTAACAGGCTCACATTCGGAGCAGTACCGATTACCTGCTTTCTAAAACATTACTCAAAAAACAAACATGGTCGACATGTTTCTTCACTTTTCCTTGAATCCTGGGGATAAGCAGTTCAGTACCGAATGAAATACACAATAAATGCTAATTCTCCAGCTCTCTGTCCCTGTATAACTATTTAAAATTCAGATTGAAAAAGGAAGACAAATCCTAGGAAATTCTTGATTTGCATTAGTAAGTTTTGCACTTTTCAACTCCTCACTTAGAGGAAACCATGACTGAATGAAGCCTCATTCAACAGCGGCCCGATTATTGAAACTATGTCAGCCCGATACGACAAGACATAGCCCTATCTTAACCATGCAATATATCGCAATTCGATGTCTTATCGGGCTGCTTTAAACTTTCAATAATCGGCCCGCAGGAGAGACTCATTTGCATCAAATTACAACGTTGCAGCCATATATTTTTCAAGACAGAAAGCTCAAATATGTGCTAATTTTGCGAAAGGTTACGGATAATAATGTTTAGACACATTGCGATGGTGAAGCTGCAAAAACATGCATCTCATTTTGGTCTTTTAAAATCTCTGCTCCCATTTTATCTTGTCAAAGTAGAACAATGCAGCACTATTGCTAGTTTTCACAGAGTATTCCTCACTCCAAGAAGAAAATTTGGGGAAGTTTTCGCTGTAGTCCGCTGAGTGCTTATTTTCAAATTTGGAAAATAAATTATCGCAGGAAGTCTGAAGCATTACAAATTGGGATACGCATTTTTGCAATTTCAATGTTGATTGTTAACTAATTACAGACAAATATGAAGGAATTGCACGAACAGATGAAAGCTACTTACAATGTGTCTCAGGATCTGCAGCTGTCATATCAGAGGAAAGAGCAGAAGTTTTTTGAGGAGATTGTACACTGACATCGACATTAAAAGTGGACTTTCCTCCTTGTCTGCTGAAAAAATACTTTGAATCAGGTTTCTGAATATCAGTTGCAGTAAAATCCACTTGTGCTCTGAATGGTGATCGTTCCTTCAATCGATTTTTTGATGAAACTAAATTTACTCCTGTTGACAAGGATGAACTTTCTTCAGTTTTTTTGCTGCCTAAAAATGGTGCGTTTTCATCTACTCCATCAACCGCTGCATCTGAACTTGATGAGGTATCATGTGAATGCACATAATGTGGAGATTTAGTGTCATTCATAAACTTCCTTGTACAAGGTTCTGAGTCAACAGCATTTGTGAAGTTTGGTTCCTTCAACGGTGAGACATTTGGCTGGATGCCGATTCTCAGACCGTCTGTGATTTTCAATTGATTTTTGAGGCGATCCTTTCGTGCTTTAGCCCGTTCCATCATCCGCTAAAAAATGGGGGGGAAAAAACAAAAGTGAAAAACTGAAGCAACTCTTTAAAAAACCATTTAAATTGATTACAGATAGATAATATGTTGTGACTAAAGGGGACGAAAACCAAAAAAACAAGTAGAGCTTAAAATTGAAAGCTCAAAGCACCTGATGAACAGTACTGAAAGTTGCACCTTTAAACTCCACTCTGTTTGGCCGCTATGATATGCGGTTACTTGCCACCTGCTTTCAGTTTTTTTTAGGTAAGTATTCAGTTTAAGAGGATGTAAGTACAACTGTGTCAGGAGGTTGACTAGGAGCAAAAGCAGTTCCCTACTGACAGAATTGACATCTTATCCAGTCATCCCCTGTGTAATGATGGTTATTCTTGTGGATTTTCTGTTGAGGAGCTCTGCAGTTATGTTTTCAACGTTCAATTTGGTTCGGTGAAGTTCAGTACAAGTAATTGGAATTCACACCAAATAAGTTTACGCACTTTCAGACTGAGACAGAAGATCCGCCAGCTTGATTCTTACTTTTACTTTCCATGCCAAAATTTGGGCAGACTATCTTCATTTCACATGGATGCCAGCTTCAATTCTTTGTATCAAGAGGGAGATAGAATAGGGGATTGTAGAATAGGGGGATGGGTAGATTCTCCATGTGTGTTCGTTTCTTTGGATTTTCTTAACGTCTCCGATAGACAGTACTATCTACCACTTATGTGAATTCATGCCCTCTCCTACCTTCAACCTTTATTAGTCTCTCTGTACCAGCTGCCGATTCGTATGGAACCGCAGCCAAAAATGTAGCGGTCCAATTATGTACCAGACCTAAAAGAGGCTCGATAGTAAAAATGGTAGGAGAGGGAAAGGGGTCACCTACCACTTGTCTGAAAATTTCTTCATCAGGAGTGGTGTAATAAGTGCAACAACATATATGGGTCTCTTGCAATGAACCACAAAATTTGATTCCTGAAAAATAATCTTTGAGTAATGACTGATATGGTACGACAACCCAAGGAACAGTACTAGAACCTGCGAGCTGATTAGGGAAAATTTAAAGCAGCACGATACGACATCATAATACAATTTGTATGGTTAAAATAGGTCTGTGTTTTGTCTCATCCCATCGACGTACATTCAATGATCCAGCTCTTGACCGATCAAGACAGATTTGTCGTAGTATCAAGAGTGAGGTTATGGTGTTTAAGCATGGAAATCTTTTGTTTAAATGATTTCTAAAAAGCACAAATGTTTAGACTTGTTCCTTACCCCCTGAGTAGTTTGGAGGGGTTTTGAATAAGAGATGGAGAAAACGAATACAGACCTCAGTGAATGAATCCATTGTGAAGAAATTTGATTCACAAAATTAAGATAAGTGTGCCTGGAAAAGCGGATATGGATAAATTATGTTTGCCTTTGGCATTAACACTAATTAAAAACAGTCTGTAATCAATCTGAGATCTGAGAACCTTCGAATTGTAACCGTTGACGTATAACGTATAATACAATCGTGTTATAAGTCAATGATTGACACCAAGGCGGATAAAGAATGGTGGTCGCATTTCGATTTTGGCTGCCATCTTGAAGCGTTGTGACGTCAGAAGGGTACGGGTTATGCCGTGCAATCCGAGGTTGAGTCGGCCCCCCCGGCTTCGGCCAGCTCATGTACCCGATGTACCCGATACCGTGTGACGTCCAGAGGGTACGAAATGCGACCACCATTCTTTATCCGCCTTGGATTGACACATTGAGATTATAACGGCCGGTAACGAACGGTTGAAATTGTTGAAATTCGATACATCAAACGGCTGAGATTGTATCGATATCGATTGGTTCAGTTCAAAACATAAACATAGCCTCAAAAGTAAATTCAGAAATCTGAGAGAACGGGTCTTTTAAAACATATTTTTTATTCTTTTGAGTACCAAATGCCAATTCAAAGTATTTCAAAGTGAATTGTCAGGAAATTTCTCATTTTCAGCTTTTCCATCGGTTTGAGGTTATGTTCTATTGTCTTGAACCAAACGATACATCGAACCGTTATCGATTACGGTCTATCAGACGCTGATGGGGGCAGGACATTACCTACAACGGCATTACCTCCAAAAATCCAACATGGTCGAGCGAGAGATCGAAACTTTGGCATTGTGCCCAAATCGATCGGTCGATGTTTCGAGATGTAAGGCTGTCTCGAATTTTACGATGTTGCCAAACCAAAAAGTAAGCATGAGATTTCTTTATAGGTGTTTCTGACTAGAGTCCCTTTATACCCAGAGTTACGACAACTCGATTATCAGCTGACTGACAGCCGGCCTTGGCTGGCCATGGAAGCCGAAACGAGTGCACCCAAACGAACGATATTGAGGGATAAGGATCAGGAATCCTGCGATGTCTGTCACACAAAAACAACAACATCAATAAATTGATCAGTTAAAAAGAAAATGAGATTGGTTTGTGAATAATTTCTTGATCTATTTTCATTTTGGACCGATGGAAATAACAATTTACTCTTGATAAACCACAATTAGGTAATATTTTCATTATTCTTGTTCACATACGAGGTACCGCCATCTTGGTGCACTCGTTTCGGCCTCCATGAGCGAGAACCAATCAGAATTGGATTTTTTTTTAGGCCACTTTCAGCCCAACCCTGGCCCAACCAAAAGTGAGTTGTCGTAACTCTGGGTATAATAGTCAGTGTGAAATTGTGAGACAATCTGATAATCGCTGATAACTCTCGAAACATGATCATGAGCGTGAATTAAGAGTTAGAGGAGGTTAGAATCCATTAAGTGAAATTATCAATTAGTATCTCATAGACTTTTCCTAGAGTCCCTTTATACCCAGAGTTACGACAACTCGATTATCAGCTGACTGACAGCCGGCCTTGGCTGGCCATGGAGGCCGAAACGAGTGCACCCAAACGAACGATATTGGGGGATAAGGATCAGGAATCCTGCGATGTCTGTCACACAGAAACAACAACATCAACAAATTGATCGATTCCTCCCGAACTGCTCCCGGCTTTAGTTGACGATTCCGCCACCACGTCGCGCTGCTCATTTACTGATTCTTGTTTAGTTATTTTCTCAGATGTGTCACATTTTTTTCAAAAAATAATATACAATCCGTGTAGCAGCATAAATTATGTATACGTTTTGAAAAAAATAAAGCGAAAATCTTGAAAAATAAAGTCAAACGAAGCTAAACGGAGTTGGGGTCTATGCTAACCCGTGGGTGCGAGTGAGACTAGCCTATCCTTGTTTAACCGTCACATTGCCTTGTTGCCGTTGTTACTTTTGAATTGTGCTTGCATACTGCAGCGCGACGTCAGGTCGCGCCGCTCAGCTGTTTTCCCATTGCAGCGGTTTTTTTTTGTTTTTTTTGTTTTTTTTTTGTTTTTTTTTGTTTTTTTGTCACCTGCGCCGCGTCAATTCGGAGCACATCGCTGCTCTCATCTCAGACTCAGATTTTCTACTGGGCTGACGCGGCAGTCACTTGTCGCTTCTCTCTCATTATTCCTTTTTGTCGTAGCGCCGGCGCCACGCTGACTTGGGGGTGTGCATTCCGAGTTTTACGTGCGAGGAACTCCCTGATTTTGAAAAGAAGGGGAGTTTTTTTGCCTCAAGGAAATTTTAAATGATTTTTTATTTTACCTGATTTAACAGGGGGATATTTTCCCCCTTATTGATTTTTACTTCCTCCTCATTTCTAGGTGAAATTGAGCCTGCCCCGCATTTCATCCAAAAGTTTGACACCCCCCCCCCCCCCCCCCCC